GTGTATAATTATTTATTTCATTTTTTTATGGCTTCTGTCTTGTATTATATATTTGTGTGGGTTTTTTTTTTGTATTCTTACATTGTACCATGCCAATGCAATTTGTACCCTAACCAAATGCAAAATTAGTGAAAAACAGTCAGAAAAGATGAGTAGGAAAAAAAATGTCAGCGGCCTCCACCTATAAAACCATTCCTGTTTTGGGAGTCATCTCATTGTTACCCATATAGTGCACCTGTTATTAATTTCATTAACACCAAAGCAGCTTAAACTGATGAACAACCCCCTCTGTTACTTACCTAAGCAGATCAATTTCCAGGAGTTTAATTGACTTGATGCTAGACTTGGATTACAAAGTCTTCCTTTCATTTATTTGAGCAGTGTATATGATTTTGCTTCTGTTATCTGCAATGTGAATTTGTGAGTTTTCCTTATTATTCTGACATTGCACCATTCCTCTGCATTATGTGCATGGAGTGCTGGAAGATTTGGTATTAGATTGTTAGCTGTGTGCACAAGCTTGTGCTGGGGTTTGCAGCATGCTGAGGCACTTTAGTCGGAAGGTGGACAAAGGGGGCCATTTGGGGTGCTTTAGGCACACCCAAACTACATCCATGCAAAAAATGTACAAGCTTTACTGCCCATTGGTATTTATGAGTGTTGTACTTACCTGAAATTATTACTTAATTTTATACCAGAGCCTAACAATTGTGCAATCAGTAGACCATCACTAGTAGACCAGGCCTTTACCAATCAGTAGACCATCACCAGTAGACCAGGCCTTTACCAATCAGTAGACCAGGCCTTTACCAATCAGTAGACCATCACTAGTAGACTAGGCCTTTACCAATCAGTAGACCATCACCAGTAGACCAGGCCTCTACCAATCAGTAGACCAGGCCTTTACCAATCAGTAGACTAGGCCTTTACCAATCAGTAGACCATCACTAGTAGACCAGGCCTTTACCAATCAGTAGACCATCACTAGTAAATCAGGCCTTTTACCAATCAGTAGACCATTACCAGTAGATCAGGCCTTTACCAAGCAGTAGACCAGGGCTTTACCAATCAGTAGACCATTACCAGTAGATCAGGCCTTTACAAAGCAGTAGACCAGGCCTTTACCAATCAGTAGACCATTACCAGTAGACCAGATCTTTACCAATCAGTAAACCATTACCAGTAGACCAGGCCTTTACCAATCAGTAGACCATTACCAGTAGACCAGACCTTTACCAATCAGTAGACCATTACCAGTAGACCAGACCTTTACCAATCAGTAGACCATTACCAGTAGACCATGCCTTTATCAATCAGTAGACCAGTGTTTCTCAACCTTTTTTCAGTCAAGGCACCCTTTAAATTACGGACAGTCCTGAGGCACCTTTTAAAATTATGGACAGTCTTAAGGCACAACATTCTAAAATGTGAAAAACTATTCTGATAGTTTTATATAACACAGCAACATCCGCACACACGTAGGACACCCAACATTAGAGGTGATTTATTCTTCCAAAGCACATACACCTTTGCGCACTGGTACTGAGTAGTATTCCACTGTTTCTCCTCTCCCTCAGTTTTTCTCCATCACTGAGCTAATGTGACCCCATAACTGATGGAAGGGGGCAGGGGATGGTCAAATTAAGATGCTGTGCAGGCAGCTGACTTCCTCCTTATCAACTGATGATGTCATTGGTTGTCAGGACACCGGCAACTAGAAGGTAACTAAAAGCCAGGCTTGTTCCACCTGCTGGCTTGTATACAAGTTTTGGGCAATTTTTAGACATTTTTCGAAGGCACCCCTGAAGAAACCTCAAGGCACCCCTGAAGAAACCTCAAGGCACCCCAGGGCGCCTGGGCACCCTGGTTGAGAAAGGCTGCAGTAGACCATTACCATGGCCAGTAGGCCAATCCATTAGTGATACAATGCAAGTAAAGAGCATACAGATCATCTACACTTTATGAAATGGTGCTTTCCAAACAATCAAGGTGGGGTGTGGGGGGAGCAGGTGAGGTACATATTGGAGATCCAGACCCTGGAGCCAAGCTGATAAATGTAAATGTATGAAGACAATGAGTTGTGTCTGTAAATAGTCTTTTATATACATAATAGTCTTAGAGGGAACCGCTATTAATCTGCTTAATCATTCATCTCCCCTTCCCAACTCACTGACTCATCACTGGGCCACTTCATGCCAGATCTAAACATCTCAATGGTTCAGTTTCTAGATGGGCTGAATGAACACACCGCCCTGTTATAGACAGGGACCCCCCATGGTGACATCCTCTCACAGCTGGACTCCACAATTACCTGTACATTATGAAACACCTACATTGTAAAGACTGAGGCAGGCAGTTGGGGGGAGAATCAGCAAATCGAGTCCCCTCCCCGCAGCCTCTGAGACAAGTATGAAGAGAGTATTGAAAACACCTTCCAAGGAACCCTACAATAGGAAGGTTTACAGCACTATAGTAATATGGAGGCACCACTATGATACATCTTCCAATGCACACTTAAAATAAGATCTGCACCACTATAGTGATGTATGGGGCACCCTGCATACTTACAGAATCCTGCATCCTTATAGTGATGTATGGGGCACCCTGCATACTTACAGAATCCTGCATCCTTATAGTGATGTATGGGGCACCCTGCATACTTACAGAATCCTGCATCCTTATAGTGATGTATGGGGCACCCTGCATACTTACAGAATCCTGCATCCCTATAGTGATGTATGGGGCACCCTGCATACTTACAGAATCCTGCATCCTTATAGTGATGTATGGGGCACCCTGCATACTTACAGAATCCTGCATCCCTATAGTGATGTATGGGGCACCCTGCATACTTACAGAATCCTGCATCCCTATAGTGATGTATGGGGCACCCTGCATACTTACAGAATCCTGCATCCCTATAGTGATGTATGGGGCACCCTGCATACTTACAGAATCCTGCATCCCTATAGTGATGTATGGGGCACCCTGCATACTTACAGAATCCTGCATCCCTATAGTGATGTATGGGGCACCCTGCATACTTACAGAATCCTGCATCCCTATAGTGATGTATGGGGCACCCTGCATACTTACAGAATCCTGCATCCTTATAGTGATGTAAGTGGCACCCTGCATACTTACAGAATCCTGCATCCCTATAGTGATGTATGGGGCACCCTGCATACTTACAGAATCCTGCATCCCTATAGTGATGTATGGGGCACCCTGCAAACCTATAGAGATTTGCACCCCTATAGTGATGTATGGAGCACCTTGCACACTTACAGAGATTTTCACCCCTATAGTGATGTGTGGAGCCTCCAGCATACTTTTACAGATCTGCACCCCTATAGTGATGTATGGAGCCTTCTGCATACTTACAGAAACATGAATCCCTATAGTGATGTATGGGGCACAATGCATAGTTAGAGAGATCTGCACCCCTTTAGTGATAGTAGGGCACCCTGCATAGTTATAATAGGATCTGCACCCCTATAATGAGGTATATGGCACCCTGCACACTTATAGAGACATCTGCACCCCTATTGTGAAGTATGGAGCCTTCTGCATACTTACAGAAATATGAATCCCTATAGTGATGTATGGGGCACGATGCATTGTTAGAGAGATCTGCACCCCTTTAGTGATGTGTAGGGCACCCTGCATACTTATAATAGGATCTAAACCCCTATAGTGATGTATGGAGCACCCTGCACACTTATAATAGGATCTGCACCCCTATAATGAGGTATATGGCACCCTGCACACTTATAGAGACATCTGCACCCTTATAGTGATGTATGGGGCACCCTGCACACTTATAATAGGATCTGCACCCCTATAGTGATGTATGGAACACCCTGCATACTTATAATATGATCTGCACCCCTATAGTGATGTATGGAGCACCCTGCACACTTATAGACATGAGCCCCTATAGTAATGTTTGGCGCACTGTGCACGCTTATAGAGATCTGAACAACTATAGTGCTGCATGGAACATCCTGCACCTTTATAGTGACCTGCACCCCTATAGTGATGTACATGGCACCCCCAAAATACTCTATGCAGCCCTCTACACTTTTATACTAATAAGATCTGAACTCTACAGGGATGTATGTGGCCCCTCTATACGGATGTCCGTGGCCCCCCTATAGGGATGTATGTGGCCCCTCTATACGGATGTCCGTGGCCCCCCCTATAGGGATGTATGTGGCCCCTCTATACGGATGTCCGTGGCCCCCCTATAGGGATGTATGTGGCCCCTCTATACGGATGTCCGTGGCCCCCCTATAGGGATGTATGTGGCCCCTCTATACGGATGTCCGTGGCCCCCCTATAGGGATGTATGTGGCCCCTCTATACGGATGTCCGTGGCCCCCCTATAGGGATGTATGTGGCCCCTCTATACGGATGTCCGTGGCCCCCTATAGGGATGTATGTGGCCCCTCTATACAGATGTCCGTGGCCCCCCTATAGGGATGTATGTGGCCCGGCCCCTCTATACGGATGTCCGTGGCCCCCCTATAGGGATGTATGTGGCCCCTCTATACGGATGTCCGTGGCCCCCTAGCGCACACCAGCTTAATGACATCGCTTAGCAGTGACACCCCGCCCACTCCTCTGCTTACAGGCTGAGTGACAAGCCCTGGCCCCGCCCCAACCCCTCTGCTTACAGACAGAGTGACAGTCGCTGTCCCCGCCCCCGTGCTCCTATTGGCTGCGCCCCCTCCGCCTTTCTGTGTTATTTTTCGAATATAAATGGTGCGGAGAGTCGGGGAGAGAGAAGAGACCAGGCCGGGCGGAGAGCGGAGGGATCGGAGCGGAGGGACTGTATGTGCCCGGCCGGCTAGTGCCACTATCCTCCCCGACACCACCACCGCCGGAGGACTATGATCGGAGTGTAGGAGGAACCCGACCCCGCTATATCCCGGATCCCATCCCGGACCCCCCGCACCGGATCCCCATCTCGGATCTCCCCATCCCGGACCCCCCCGCACCGGATCCCCATCTCGGATCTCCCCATCCCGGACCCCCCGCACCGGATCCCCATCTCGGATCTCCCCATCCCGGAACCCCCCGCACCAGATCCTCATCCCGCACCGGATCCCCGGACTATTCTCACCATGGAGATGGAGAAGATGCTGAACGACTTCAGTCCCCAGCCGTCCCCTCCCGGGACCCCTCCACCGCCCCACCACCCTCCTCCCCTGCGGACTGAGCCTGCTCAGCGCCGACCCCGGAGTGCTGTCCCCGGTCACCAGCCTCACCTTCACCATGAACCAGCTGGGCGGCCTCGGCAGGTGAGACACAGATCTGTACCGGGACTACGGGAGGGCCGCCGGGGGGATGGGATTACTGCCCTGCACCCCACTCCCTGCACCCCACTCCCTGCACCCCACTCCCTGCACCCTTCATCTGCACCCCTTGTCCTTCCCCTGCACCTTTCTGCACCCCACTCCCTGCACTCTTCTGAACCCTTTTCCTGCTCCCTGCACCCCATGTCCTGCACCCTTCTCCTGGACCCCCAGTCCTGGCACTGATGCATGCATCCCATATCTAATTTGGAGTATTGGATTTATGTGAGCACCCCCCCCCCCCTTGCTGGCGTTCTTCCTTGGTACCCTTCCCCCTGCTCCCCCCTGGCACCGATGTATTCAATTCATTATTTCTAATTTGGGGTATTGCATTGATTTGCACCCCTCCCCCTCCTTGGCACCTCTAGCTGTATGCCTGCAGTAGCTCTAGTTTGGGGTATTGCATTGATACCTGGGCCTGGCACCCTCCCCTCTCCTGGCACCCTTCCCTTGCCTATCCTGGCACCCTTCCCCCCCCCTCTCCTGGCACCCTGCCCCCTATCCTGGCACTTTGCCCCCCCCCCCCACACACTTATCACTGCATGTTTTTGGCATTTCCATCACAGGGATTTGTATTGATCTAGGGCTCCCCCCCTCCCCCTTGTCTCTCCATATCCCCTCCCCCATGGTGTATACCTCTCAGTCCTGGCACTGTATATATCCCATCTGTATTGTATGGTGTGATGTGTATTACTCCCTCTGTACATTGTAGGGGCGGACAACTCATGGGGCCCCCTACTGACCCCGGGCCCTCGGGCAGTGCCCCAGTTTCCAAATGGTCAGTCCGCCCCTGGTACATTGTATTCTATTTCTGGGGTTTGTTTATATTCAACGTTTCTACTTTTAGTGTTTTTTTTCTGCCTGTTGCAGTTTATATCAGTCACTGACCAGTGTGGATGTTCTGTGTTTATATTGCTCATGTAAGGACCGATACATTGTATGGGGGTCCACACGCAGGCTGATACATTGTATGGGGGTCCACACGCAGGCCGATACATTGTATATTAGTCCACATGCAGGCCGATACATTGTATATTAGTCCACATGCAGGCCGATACATTGTATGGGGGTCCACATGCAGGCTGATACATTGTATGGGGGTCCACATGCAGGCTGATACATTGAATGGGGGTCCACGTGCAGGCCGATACATTGTATATTAGTCCACATGCAGGCCGATACATTGTATGGGGGTCCACATGCAGGCCGATACATTGTATGGGGGTCCACGTGCAGGCCGATACATTGTATGGGGGTCCACGTGCAGGCCGATACATTGTATATGATGTGTATTACTCCCTCTGTACATTGTATTCTATTTCTGGGGTTTGTTTATATTTCAACGTTTCTATTTTTAGTGTTTTATTTCTGCCTGTTGCAGTTTATATCAGTCACTGGTCAGTGTGGATGTTCTGTGTTTATATTGGTAATGTAAGGACTGATACATTGTCCATGCGTCCATAGGCAGGCCGATACATTGTCCATGCGTCCATAGGCAGGCCGATACATTGTCCATGCGTCCATAGGCAGGCCGATACATTGTCCATGCGTCCATAGGCAGGCCGATACATTGTCCATGCGTCCATAGGCAGGCCGATACATTGTCCATGCGTCCATAGGCAGGCCGATACATTGTATATGCGTCCACAGGCAGGCCGATACGTTGCCCATACGTTCGGTTTAGCTCTTTCCCCATTGTTCTTCTTTACTGGCTCATTGGGGTTTAGTCCATAACAAAAATATCGGCATGGGGGTTCATACTGAATCGATAGGCTCCCCGTCCTGTTAGAATTCTAGTTTTGGATAGAGCAACAGAAGGAATAGGATCTGTTGGCTTTTTAATCGTAATGTGTGTCCCCAGAGAGAATCTCCCTTCGCTTCCTGAGCTGGTGACAACACAACAGGAAGTGAGGAAAATCTCATCAATTGGACGCAACCTTTAAAACACCTTTTATTCATAGAACGGGAAAGGCTGAGGACCTGTGCCAAGTGCCATCTGTGTCCCTTTTTGGTAGGATTTTCTTACTTCCTGTGTTGGTGACACAACAGGAAGTGTTGAAAAATCTCCCTTATGGGGACACTGTCAGTAAAAAAGCAAAAACCCGAGAGATTCTATTCCTTTCACAGCTTTGTTTTTTCTATGAAACTAGATCACTAGTCCGCTGGTCTGATTGGTCTGCGGGGTAAAATGATGGATTCAGTTGCAGGTCGCTGGTATTTTTTTGAATTGTCAATATTTTGGGAAGGAATTTGGCGGCCCCGCAGGGGACATTTGTAGAGGTGTGAGGTTGTCCCAGATTCTCCCATGCCTTCTACCTGGTGTCAGAGGAAGTGTCTGATCACACCTCCCCATCTAATCCAACAAACACCTTCTATTGTACCTGGATGGGGCAGAGGTGTGAATCGCTCATTAAACTCCTCCAAACATTTGTCTTTCTGGGTGTCCCAGGGCTGGAAAGTGGAATATTGACCCCCTGGCTACTGAAAAGTGTCCTGGATCACAGGGAGGGGCGGAATTCTGTGTGATGGCAGGTCTGGTTCTTCTGTGTTAGGCCCCTTTCACATGGGCAGCCCATTTTTTTTATATCAGTTCAGTCACTTTTTTTTTTTTCAAAAAACAGATCCATTTACATCCGTTTTTCATCCATTTACATCCGTTTTTCATCCATTTACATTAGTTTTTTTACCATTTGCATCCATTTTTTTTTGTCTTTTTTAATAAAAGAAAAATTGGGTCCTTTCACACAGACGTTCCGTTTTTTTTTTTTTTCATCAGTTCAGTCACATTTTTTTTTCAAAGAAAAAACAGATCAGTTTACATCCATTTTTTTCATCAGTTTACATCTGTTTACATCCATTTTTTGATCCCTTCCATTTTTTTTTAATGGAAGAAAAATTGGGTCCTTTCACACATGTGCAGGGGCGGACTGACAACTCATGGGGCCCCTGTGTCCTTGCCCAAACTCAAAAAAGCCTATGAAAAAGGTACCAGGGGCATCTCATGCGGCCCCCTACTGACCCCGGGCCCTCGGGCAGTGCCCGAGTTTCCAAATGATCAGTCCGCCCCTGCACACAGGTGTTACATTTTTTTTTTTTTTTCTATCAGTTCAGTCATGTTTTTTTTTTTTTCATCAGTTTACATTCATTTTTCATCTGTTCCATTTTTTTTAATGGAAAAAAAAAATGGGTCCTTTCACACAGGCGTTCCATTTTTTTTTTGTTTTGTTCTTTTCATCAGTTCAGTGGCTTTTTTTTTTTTTTGTTTTCAAGAAAAAATGGATCAGTTTTCATCTGTTTTTTCATCAGTTTGCATCCATTTTTCGTCAGTTCTGTCTTTTTTAATGGAGGAAAAATTGACTTCTGTCACACGGGCGTTCTGCTTTTTTTCATCAGTTCAGTCATGTATTTTTTTTTTATGTCAAAGAAAAAACGGATCAGTTTACATCCATTTTTTTTTTTAATGGAAGAAAAATTTGGTCTTTTCACACGGGCATTCTGTTTTTTGTTTTTTTTTTCTTTTTTTTTTTTTTTCATCAGTTAAATTACGTTTTTTTGTTTTTTTTTTTATTTTCAAAGAATAAAATGGATCAGTTTACATCTGGTTTCTTTTTTTTTTCATCGGTTTACATCCAGTTGCATCCGTATTTTTGTCCGTTTACATACATTCTTCGTCTGTTCCGGGGGGGGTTTTTTTAACGGAAGAAAAATTGGAAAAAACGTCACTGAACTGATTAAAAACACAGAACACACGTGTGAAAGAATCCAAAGAAAAAAATGGATCAGTTTACATTCGTTTTTTTTTTTTTTTGTTAGTTTTTTTTTTTATGGAAGAAAAATGCTGTTTTTTTCCATTCAAAAAGATGTTAATGGATGCAGACATTAATGAATGTAAACAGATGATCATCCGTTTACATCCGCTAGTCCATAGGAATACATGAGAGTGCATATTTCATCCGTGAATGCACAGATGAAAAACGGACATACAGAACGCCCGTGTGAAAGAGGTCTTAGAATACATGAGGCGATGTGATTGGTCGATGCAACACATGTAACAAAGTGTGAATTAAGGAAAGTTTACAGTGATACATTTTATTGGCTGATTAAACTGAGAGAACTAAAGACAAAACTTTCACGCTCTAGTACAGGTCACAATAAATACCTGTCATGGGGTTCTAACCCCTTGCCATTCTCTCCGAATCTCAAGTTTTGCGATGTGCAGTTGTGGTAATGTCATCTCTGGTGATATGTCTGGTATTTTTTTTTTTTTTTTTAATGATATCTTTTATTACATTTTATTGCGATGCATAAAGCAACCATATATCATTTATCACAACTTATACCTTCCCAAAAAGAGACAATTTATATGTCTGGTATTTGTTCCTTGTTTTGTTTTTTTGTTTTGTGCTTTGTTTTTGTGTTTTTGTTCAGTTTTTTTTTTTTTTTTTTTTGTTGTGTTCTTTTTGTTTGTTTTGTTTTTTTGTTTCTTTTTTGCTTTTCTTTTATTTGTTTTTTTTACCACCAATTAACTTTTTTTTTTTTTTTTTTGCAGCCTTGGCGACACACCAAAGCGAAGAGGCAACATCTATCCAGTCCTGACCTCCAACTTGATCCGCACCTCTTCCTCCGACTCGTCTGACTCTGGTGAGTGAACCGGGCGATCGCCCCGTCCGAGAGGGTCGCAGCATGTGCTAGGGTGCAATGGGAGGGATTTACTAAAACCGGACAGTGAAAAATCTGGTGCAGCGGTGCATGGCAGCCAATCAGCGTTGAGCTTCAGCAATATAACCTGGAAGCTGATTGGTTTCTGTGCAGAGCTGCACCAGATTTTGCACCGTGCGGTTTTAGTAAATCTCCTTGTGCCTCTTCTCCTCCTGGGGTGTAGTGGTTATCCAGAGTTACTCTTCAAGAGAACCACCCTACAGCAGCAGCAGGGTCTTTATAGGAGAAATGTTGCTTTTTTATTTTTCTATGTATTTTATTGATTCGATTTTTTTTTTTTTTTTTTTTATTACACGTTGACATAGTTGTCTTTTAAAGCGGGACTACACTGAATCTGAACATCGCAAAGCAAAAACCCTTTTTTTGGGTCCACACTAGAATCAGATCGCATGGGTATTCACACCTATGCGATCCGATTCTGCACAACGCACCGCATTTTGCGCACCGATTTCGGGGTGTTGTTAACTTAACATACACACTCACAGCGGTTCGAATGAACGGGGGTGTGATTTTGATGCGGTGCGGAATTAGCCTAGAAAACGCTGCAAATTCTTCACCGCATCAATGTGAACCCGAGCTAATGCAAGTTGTCATGCAGTTTGACTTTGGTTCAAATCTCACGACAAATCGCATCCAATGATCGGCAATGGAACCTTTTCAATCAATGCGATTCCCAACTTTGTCGGAGTTGCACCAATTAGAAAATTAGTTCCTGCACTACTTTTGCCGATCTGCAAATTCCGCACAGCATCAGAGTGAACCAGGACTAATGCAGGCCATAGACGGGTCGAACATCGGCTGATTTTTCAGAAAAAAAAAAAAAAACCGAAAAATTGGTCGCTCGTTCGGCCGACTTTACCACCAACGATCAAAAAAATCAGCCGACTAAATCATAAAGTTCACCCCACAACTTCTGTCCCTTGCAGGTCACGGCTCATGCGCGGATTTTTCATCGGTAAAACGATCAGCCAATTTGCTCATCATTGCCGTCAAAATCGGCCGCAAATTTGCCAACATGACCGATAAAAAAAACTGCAAAAACCCTGAAAAAACGGCCGACCAATTAATCCACTAACAATGTGAAAATTGGCCTTTTTTTTTTTTTTTTTTTCCCAGCCGAAAAATCGGCCGATTTTTGAAACGTCTATGGTCGGCATAATGTAGGCCATAGACTGTTCGTTTATCTGCCTTTTTCTTTCATTTTCCAGCCGAAAAATTGGCCGATTTTTGAAACGTCTATGGTCGGCATAATGCAGACCATAGATGGTTCGTTTTTCGACCTTTTTTTTTTTTTTTTGTCCGAAAGAATAATCGGCCGATGTTCGCACCGTTAGTGGGGCAATGGCATCAGCCGTTTTTTTTTGCGGTTCCTCCTCATTTCTTTTATCGGTCATGCCGGAAAATTAGTGAAAAATGGCCGATTTTCGCAATCATTGGTGGCAGCATCGGTTTACAGAACGACCAATGTTTCAGTGCCTACCAGTGCACATCAATGCCACATATCGGTGCCCATCTGAGCTGCCCGTCAGTGCCACCTATCAGTGCTGCCTTTCAGTGCCCATCAGTGATGCCTGTCAATGCCCATCAGTGCCACCTACCAGTGCCTCCTCATCAGTGCCCATCAGTGCCACCTATCAGTGTCCATCAGTGATGTCTGTCAATGCCCATCAGTGCCACCTACCAGTGCCTCCTCATCAGTGTCCATCAGTGCAGCCTATCAGTGCCCATCAGTGATGTCTGTCAATACCCATCAGTGCCACCTACCAGTGCCTCCTCATCAGTGCCCATCACTGCAGCCTATCAGTGCCCATCACTGCAGCCTCATTAGCACACATCAGTGAAAGAGAAAAATCACTTATTTATAAAATTTTATAACAAAAAGTAAGAAAAAGTTTTTTTGTTTTTTGTTTTTCTTTTCAAAATTTTCAGTGGTTTTTGGTTTGTTTAAGAAAAAATAAAAATCCCCGAGGTGATTAAATACCACCAAAATCTCTCACAAAAAATGATAAAAATTTCATATGGGTGCAGTGTTGCATGACCCGCGCAATTGTCCTTCAAAGTGCGACAGCGCTGAAATCTGGAAATTGGCCTGGGCAGGAAGGGGGTAGAAGTGTCCGGTAGGCAGGAAGGGGGTAGAAGTGTCCTGTAGGCAGGAAGGGGGTAGAAGTGTCCTGTAGGCAGGAAGGGGGTAGAAGTGCCCTGTAGGCAGGAAGGGGGTGAACGTGTCCTGTAGGCAGGAAGGGGGTGAACGTGTCCTGTAGGCGAGGGGTTAAATTGATTGAAATGATGCGCAAACTGTCAGTGCGATATAAATCCTCTATAATAATTTAGTGTAGCTGCTTCATTTAAAGGGATATCGCACCTTTTATTGAGCGTCCTCTAACCTCTGTCTTTTCTCTCTCTCAGGTCTGTGTTTGGAGGATGTCAGCCCCGTCACTGCCGAGATGTAAGTCCGCTCTCTGTTTACCTTCGCTATGACTTGTTTCTGCATGCGCTGGCCGTGTAGATGGGTGTGTGCGTGTTTGCGTGTGTGTGTGTGTGTATGTGTACGTGGGAGGAGGTTGTTTAACCTGTCATGTTGGCTGGATTGTAATGCAAGAAGCCCGGCCTTCTCAACAGGTTGCACAAAATGCATGCAGACTTAAAGGGGGATCCCCCTCTCCAGTTCTGTACATTTCAAAGATTGTTGCAAATCCTCACCTGCTTCTATCTTGTAGGTATTAAGGTGACCCCCTCCCCAAGTGGCTCATAGCCTGTGTACTGCGGTCACATGATCAGTCCCCGTTTAGTCCCTGACCCTCGGATATCACTTGGACAAAGATTTTGCATTCTCTAATGACTCTTAAGAACCACAATGTAGAGGCCATGTGATCCTCTCCAGATAATAGCTGGAATAGTAATAAGCTGGAAAAAGTTACAATGTGTCTTCTGTGGGCTCCCGGGAAAGGTTCCAAAAAAGGGGCGGGGCTTGGCAGCATTTTTGACCCGTCTGAGCATCTCCCGGCTGGTCGCCTGACAACCCTTCTGGTTTCTATGGCATTTCGGGAAAAAAACCTTTGGAGTCTGCCAGGCTGAATTTAACCCTTGCTGAGCTTTCCTTTCCTGAAAAATTAACAGCCTGCTCTCATTGGCTGTTTTGAGTGAATTGTACTTTTTTTTTTTTTTATGTTGTACGCCCGCATCCTCCACCACTTCCTATAGAACGTCAGTAGGCCCTTCCCATCATGAGAAATGCATTATTGATGTGAGGCCGCTGCCTGTTCTCGTGTACCTATCAATCCTTCTCAGGAGCAAGGGTGGACTGACAACTCATGGGGCCCCCGGGCAATTGGGGATCATGGGCCCCTATGTCCTCACCCACATTCAGACCACACCCAAAAAAGCCTATGAAAGGTACCAGGGGCATCTCATGGGGCTCCCTACTGACCCCGGGCCCTCGGGCAATGCCCAAGTTCCCAAATGGTCAGTCTGCCCCTGCTTGGGAGCATGCATGTCTGGGTGGCTACGGTGGGGGTTTCATTGGACCCTGCAAGGGAAAGGAGCCACCCTAAAAACGAAGGGCAGTTTGTCTCCCAATTGAGAGGTTTTCTTTCAATTCATCTCTCTAATGGTGGTGCCAGAAATCCAATGAGCTCCTAACTTCCGACAACACAGCCTTGCTGCACAGATACCCCAGGTGGTGATGTTGGCTCTACCGAATCTCTCCTCCATAACATTGGGGGCGGTGTTCTGTAGTGCAACGGTGGAAGGGAAACCTGGACAGAGCTGACCTCTGTGACCAACACATCAGAACGGCGGTTGAGGCCATTCCTCAACATTGGACTCCTGGGGTCAGTTGAGCAGCCTCCATCTCTTCACTCGTAAGGGCTGGCAACGCTGCTTGGGATTTCGGTGAAGCGTTGTCGGCACTCAACAGCAAGTTCGGAGCTCACCGGATTTTTGGCGGGATCAACAGGAATTTTTTAGTATTTGCAGCCTTTTTAATGTGACTGTAGTGATCATATTATGACATATTAATACTTTCATGGCCTCGAATTGTCCTTTGTACCCGGCGTTCCTGTTGGCTTTCACTTTCTTCTGTTTCTCTGCATTGGGTGCGATTTTTCCTTTTTATCTGGCCGTGTCCCCAGCGATAAGAGTCACATGGACTTTGTTGTCGGGATAATCGCCGTCATACACGGGTCCCTGCAGGAATGTGAAAGGGGACACCTGCTGTGGAGGCCTCTGCACCTTCCATGGCTGCAGAACAGCTGGCGGGGCCCCTGAGTGGTCCCAGCGGGCCCTAGATGGAAGGATCTTTTTTTCTAAGCTCACCTTTTTTTTCCCCTGTAACCTGAGCCGTCGCAGGCGTTGAGCCTCTTCCAGTTTCACTTTTTGTCATCCAGGACTGGGATTTGTTCAGGGGCCCCTGGGAGGCCTGCCAAATGCCATTGTAAATTCCTCAGCTGGTGGGAAGGGCCGTCGCTTAGTAATAGGTTACCTATAACATGGGGTAATGCTGGGCAGCTGCTGAGGAACTACAAGTCCCAGCGGGAGCTGCACGTTGGGATTGGAAGCCCTCTGTGCAGCCGAGGAAGTGGTGAAGGGCGGTTCAGGGTTCTGTTGGCAGCTGGGGGCCCGGTGCGTCATCGGCAGGAAATCCTCGGAGATGGAAACAGCTGAGAAGTTGGTTAACAGTCTGCTTGCTACATACAGTTTCCCCGAATGTGATGTCGCGGGTTCAGGGACTTCTTCATTTAAAGCGTCAGTCCGCCTGAATGTGGTTGTTCACTTAAAGGTGGAGCCTGACTCTGTTCTCACCCACCTTTTAAATCTGATCTCCAGTCTTGTACAGTTGTTCCGGCTCCTCTCCTGGACTGAAATGGCTTCCTCTGATTTCACCGCACACTGTGAGCTTCTCACAATGTGCATTGGAAGCTGCAGCAAGTCAGAGCTCTGCCTCATTTCATGGCTGGAGGACGTCCAGCATCATCTAGCTCTTTCCTCCCCAACCTGACTGCCCCAGGCTTGACCCTTTTATTCATAATCTCTTTTTTAGAGAAAAAATAAAATACCCAAAATTAACAAGCAGCACCAAAAACCTCCCCCGGATCCTCGCTGTAGTAGCAGAGGGTGAGTATACGCCCTCCTGCCTCTTCAGGGTGGCGGTGACAGGTGTGCCGTGTTTGGGGAGGAAGCAGATACAGCGGATGACAATCTGTGTTTGTCGTTTTCTTTTCTTCTAACAACTGCGAGACAAAACCGCAGAGATCCTGAGCTGCAAAACACTACCGCCCCCCCTTCTTCGCCCACTTCCACTTTGTCCCCTCTAATTAGGGCCAGTCCAGCCTAGGGGCCCCGGCACTGCTGGCACCTGTCAGCACTTTTCATGAACTGTCTCATACAGAGTTGGCACAAAGGATGGGGTAGGGGCAGGTGGGGGGGGGAGGGGAGGGGGGGTGTCATGCTCGCCTCTTGCTGACAAAACAATGAGCAGCTGTTCGGATTCCTTCACCTTTCACCTCTGGCGTGTGCGCGGCTGGATGGCGACCACCAAACCCGGCTTATTACCTGCGGAGGCGTTTCGTAGAGGAAATAGCTTCTGGGCCCCATTTGCAGACACAGCTTTTTTATATATATATATATATATATATATATATATATATATATATATATATACCTTTTTACAACGGAAAAAAATTATATATAATGTTCTAAAATATAAAGGATTTTTTGTGCACAAATTCCTTTTTTATAAAAATATTTATTATTATATTATTATTTGTATAATTTTTAATGTTTTTTTTTTTTGTACATTTTCCTTTTTTAAGTGTGTGTGTGTGTGTGTATATATATATATATAATATGTGTGTATACATGTGGGAATATATATACACACAATTAAAAAAGGAAAATGTACAAAAAAAGAAAGAAAAGAACATTAAAAGTTATACAAATAATAAAATATATTTTTATAAAAAAGGAATTTGTGCACAAAAAATCCTTTATATTTTAGAACATTATATATAATTTTTTCCATTGTAAAATATATGTGTGTGTATACATGTGGGAATATGTATACACACAATATATATGGGAAAATGTGCAAGAAAATGGAGATTAAAAATATAGTATTGATAAACAAATATTACAAAGAGGAAAGTGTGCAAAAAAAAATTCTAAAAAAAAAATTAGATATATTTTAGAACAGTCTATATAACTTTTACCGTAAATATGTATAAATAGAATTTGTATACACTATTTATTTTATTTTTTTTTACTTGGGTGTGTTGTTGCGGCGTTATAGGGAAAAAAAAACTACACTGCCTCTGCATGTACAGTATGCCCAATGTGGTCGTAAAGGTGGGTTACATAGTTAGTCTGGCTGAAAAAAAAGACAAAAGTCCATCCAGTTCAACCATCAAAAAAAAAAAAGATAACAATGGCGCTGCAGACTTCTGACTTTGGGGGAAGGCGAAGAGACCTGTATTAGTTTTAGTAAATAGTTTGTATTAATTTAATAAAGGGGTAGGTCCGTTTTAACAAACTGCTCCCACATTAATAAAGTGCAATTAATTGAATTTTGCATTGAAGCCTGCAGAGCTTTATTTACTATTATTATTTTAATAATTATTATAATAATTATCATAATAATAAATATTATAATAATTTATTATTACTTTTTTTATTATACAGGATCTATATAGCACCAACAGTTTGCTCAGCTCAATATAAAGGGAGATAGTACAGATCAATACAAGAGGGTTAGGAGGGCCCTGCTCCTTGGAGCTTACAATCTAAGAGCATTCCAACAGCTATCAGTGCGATTTTTTTTTTTTTTTTTTTTTTTTTTTTTTTTTTTTTTTTTTTTTAAATCTGCGGGCTTACGGTGTAAGTTTAGCGATCCGAAAGTCATTTATCCAGGAGGCCTACAAGTACAAATATGTTGCTTTAAGAGGGAGCTCAGCTATGTTTGCACTGAAACTGCATAAAATGTAACCCCGAAGGATTTGGAGCGATATGTAATTGGTTAACTGCTGCGGGTCAAAGTGTCTATTATTGGGCACAGGGGCCCTCAATGGATTGTAAGGGGACAAAAGAGGAAGGACAAACATGGGGCAGTTAATGGTTACAAGGCACATACAAAAAGATGGAAGTGAATTGTGTTCAGTTTGGACACCCAGAGTGCGATCCACTTCAAGAGCCTGCCTTGTGGGGGTGGGGGGGTCATTTTGTGTTCCTGATGACAGAATTATTATTATCCCAATAAAAGCAGTGCACATCAGGACACCCCAGCGGAGGCTGTATGCTTGGGGGGGGGTGGAGGTGTGTTTGTGCTGCATTTGAATACCCCGGGACACAAAGGCCATAATCTCCCGGTGAAATGCTGGAGTTAATTGGGGCTGTGCATGCCTCCCATCTGCCGGCTCTCTGCTGTCTAGGAGGGCCGGGGTCCTGGGTGCACGTGCTTCCATGAATGGCCCTGAATAGGCCCTTTATCCATGCTGCCACACTTGTCTCGGCTGATTCAGGCTGACAGCTGTTGGGGGCCCTGCATCAGACATATGGCCGGGGCCCTCAGCCAACAAAAGGCTCCATTTGCATACAGGTGGAGTGAATGGAGCTGCTGGTTGTGGTCAGACTCTTCAGTGGGTAGAGATGGGACAAAAGAGTCTTTGTTCCAGGATTTCTCTAATGTTTAATCTCTTTCCTCTCCTTATCCAGCTGTCATGTGACATTAAAGATTAAATCCCTCTCGGGTAGCCTTTGGATGTTGCCTGCCTAAAGGTGGACCAAAAATGTTATCACCTGTAACATTCCAGGATCCCCCTGCCCCTCCCCCAACTCAGAATTGGCCTTTGTGTCTGATGCCGTCCCGTGATTTTAATGTTTGGATAATTGATTGTATTTTTATTAACTTCAAAGATACTTATGATTATAGAATGTTGAGGATGAATCCTCTGTTTCCTGGAATTTCATTTATTTATTTATTTTTATATATATATATAATATATATATATATATATATATATATATATAACTAATTGAAAGCTGAAACAACCTAGTATTGGCATTTAAATTGGGGTTACAGGAAACTCCGCCTATCCCACTTACATTCCTTCTAAAATATTTCTGCAAATACACCTGTGTGGAATTGGGTTTCCTCATCATATCTTGAGTCTCATGTTAACCATGGACCTCTGGAAGCCCTTGGTGAACTTCAAACTTGAACCTTGCTTCCACCATCAGTTTCCATATCTCTGTCATTTCCCAGGTTAATGATCATTGCCTATCATTGCCAGGGTGTCCACCATGTTTTCCATCCTTTCCTTTACAAGTGCTGACCACTTGCATTCTATGGAAAGCTTCAGCCTTGGAACATTGGTTACACCACTGCTTTCTATTTGCCATTGCCTTTGGCAGCTTAATGTTCCACTTTACAACATGGCTGCCTTTCATTACTTGGATGTCCTCCATCCACCATGTTCTTCTGTTCTTTACCTTGGTCTCTTCCACTATCTTGCATAGTTCCTGTCCAGCTGAGTTTATTGTAATATGTCCTACAAATTAGCATTTTGTCCAATATTCCTTTCAAAGTGTGTGGTTTTGCATGTTTGCAATGGGGTTATCTGAGTGTGCTATTCACCATACTAAGCGTCAAACATGCAACCACGTCAGTTGGAAGGAATATTGAAGAGAAACCTCAGATGAAGAGAAGCTAAGCAAGAATGTGGAAAATAAGGTGGTAAAGGAAGGAAGAAGAACATGGTGGATGGACATTGACCCAACTGGGGTTATCCGAGTGTGCTATTCACCATACTAAAATGTCAAACAGTTGGGTCAATGTCCATCCACCATGTTCTTCTCCCATCCTTTACTACCTTATTTTCCACATTCTTGCTTAGCTCCTCCTCATCTGAGTTTTCTCTTCAAATCCTTCCAATTGAAGAGGTTTTGCATGTTTGACGTTTAGTATGGTGAATAGCACACTCAGATAACCCCATTGCAAATAGTTGAGTCAGTGTCCATCCACCATGTTCTTCTTCCATCCTTTATCACCTTATTTTCCACATTTTTGCATAGCTCCTCTTCATCTGAGTTTTCTCTTCAATAATCCTTCCAATTGATCTGTTTTTGCATGTTTGACGTTTAGTATGCTGAATAGCAGAGTCGGATAACCCACCACAACCAGTTGGGTCACTGTCTATCCACCAGGTTCTTCTTCCCGTTCTTTACCTTGTTCTTTTCCACAATTTTGCATCATTCTCTTCAGCCGAGTTTCCTGTGATATATGTCCAAAAAATTGGCATTTTCTCGTCAATATTCCTTCCAACAGACGGGTAGTGCTGGTTTGATGTTCAGTATGATTAATAGCAGAGTCTGATAACCTACCAACCAGTTTGGGTCAACGTTGATTGATCTGACTTAAGATTGGTTACTAAGTTGACACATTGTTGCTCTTCTTTCGTGTTCCTCTTTCATGTGTTCAGCCAGTTTGTCATTTGTTTCCTATGTAGAGAGTATAAAAACACATAAAGGAAGTGTTGTTGTTCCAGCTGCAATGTCTAATGCTCTCTCGTTCCTTCCTTGCAGATTTGAGAAGACTATTTTTGAAAGCAGGATCCCAAACAATGAGTAAGTAAGGCACGCGGACCGGCACACTTCATTAGACCTGGTGGAAGGGTTTATTTTGGGACTCAATGGGTGTTGGGAGACTTGTGGAAAACTTTCAGTTCTCAATCAAGCTAATAGTATAGAATCAAATTTTGTACACCGTTTCCTTTTGTGCTTTGATCCATGCCAGTGAGCCATGAGAATGGAGGGTCATCAGATTCAACCCTCTAGTGATGTCCTTGATATCATGTAGTACAGTAAAGCCTTCTATGAAAGTCTTCACCTTTCTCATTCCATTACGTATCCCAAAAAAAGAGGATTACTTCTCATTTCAGGACAGTGGGCAGAGCCAGGCCAATCATTCTTTTATGCCCCAACACATCCAGAACCGTTGGGCTATAATGCAAATATAGCCTAGCATTATAGAGCCATTTATTCCAATCTTCATACAGCTGGGTCAGTTTTTTGATCATCATCAGTGCTATGTATGGAAACCATGGTTTCTATAGAGTAGTGCTTGGAACCCAAGGAACCAGTAGAACTAGACAGGTTGTGGTGAGAAAGGACCAAAGGAATCAAAAAGCCCTCCAACCAGAGCACTGATTCGGTTGCAGGGCTTTTTGATCTCTTTAGTCCCATTGGGGCAATTGACTGTCCTTATTGGCAATAGTCGCCAGGACAAGATTTGAGGGGACATCCAAAATTTTATAGTTGAGGCCAGAATAGCATTGATAGCTATCAATGAGACATCTCAATAGAGACACAACAACAAAAGAAATTTCTAACCGCTTAAAATTTTACTTGACTGAAGCCCTAGAGCAGGTTTTTTCAACTAGGGTTCCTCCAGAAGTTGCTAGGGGTTCCTTGAGCAATGAGCAATTTCCACCCTTAAGATAAGTTCTCACTGACGCCATTGATCTTTTTAGCTTTTTGTAAGGGGGTAATTCTTCCCAATGACCACAGGTGTAAGGAGCATTCTTCCCACTGACCATCACACTAATGTATCATGGGTTGTAGATATAGTAATTTTTAGTACAGGTTCCCCAAGCCTATAAAGTAATTTCAAGGGTTCCTTTGTGTTGAAGAAGTTGAGAAGGGCTGTGCTAGAGTATACTAAGGGGGTCGTCTTCATTAAACACCAGTTTAACACGATACTTGAACAATGGGAGGCTTGTTGTGATTGCACAAATTCTACTTGATAACTTCACAAAATGATACATTTTTAATTTATTTTTTTTCTTTCTTACTTTTGCAGCTTCAAACTGCCTCTGAGAAGAAGACAGTCACTGCCGGTGAGTATATTGATTACTTATCATGATACCCTGTGGAGGATGGGTTAATGTGAAGCCATATGCTGGTCCTCTGCTATCAGATCCCCTTTTTAGATATGTCTGTAATCTGGAAACCTCTGGCCAGAGCCCACCATGAAAGAGACACTATTTGGGTCTGGCAGGGTCAGAGATAATTTTGTTGATTACTCCCTTCCTGTCCTTTCTGATCTCAGTCTTAATGGCTTTGCTTTTTCTTGTATTTTCTAGGTAACATTTATTGGGGGCAACCCAGCCTTGAGGAAACTTTCCTGCACCTCAGACTTGGATGTCACCAGCCCCCTGGAAAGCAACCCCAACGAACCAGACAACAAGGAGAATGTAAGTCATACTGTCAGGGCCTGCAGATACAGAAATGACCCAACACACTCTAATAGGGAGGACTCCAGGAGCAATGGGTTCAATTCTGGGACTTGACGTTGTCCCAGTGATACCCTCCTGAGCCCCCTGCAGCAGCAGGATGACAAGCTTAGGGGCCTATAGGTGCGGTTTGTGGACCTCTGTAGTCTGGCAGCCAGGGCTTGCGGAGGTGTGTGTGTATGTATGTGTGTGTGTGTGTATATATATACACACACGCACACGCACACACACACACAAAAAAAAATGAAAAAAGTAAAATTTGCACAAAAAAGATCATATTAAAAATTATACTAATAATAATGATAAAATATATTTAAGAAAAAAGGAATTTGTGCAAAAAAATCCTATATATTTTAGAACATTATATGTAATTTTTTTCAGTTGTAAAAGTGTGTGTGTGTGTGTGTGTGTGTATATATATGTATATATGATTCTTATTGGTTGATACAAATTACAGCACTTAAAGTGTAGGTCAGAACAAAATTAAAAAAATATATATTTTATTTATATATATATATATATATATATATATATATATAAATTTTTTTTTTATATATAATTATATATTAATTTTTTTTTTTTTAAATTTTGTCCTGACCTACACTTTAAGTGCTGTAACTTGTACCAACCAATAACAATCCATCTTGTAGTAGAAAGACTTTAGCATTGAATTCCTATTGATTGCTGTGGGTTACTGCATTTGGGAACAAGAAATGTCTATTAAAGGCAGATATTGACAATTAATGCACACTTTTTAAATGCTTTTTTTTTTTTTTTTTTTTACTTTTTACAGGAAGTTTTCCTTTTCAAAAGGCCGTTTGTGTATCCAGTCTCTCGCGTCCCGCGCCGCAGCGATGACGCCCTCAAGTCCCGCCCATGCTCTGCTCCAACTCTCATGGTAAGTGGTCTTTGTCCCTTCCCTGTGTTGTAGAGCTTTGGTGCCAGTGAAGTCTTAGGACCGTATTTACAAAGCTGAAAATCTGACATTCACCAAATGTTCACTGCTGTTGAATCCTTCCTGGTCCATGTGTTTTCAAATGACTGATTCACCACCAGAGGATATTTGGTGAAAGTCACATTCACGGCTTTATAGATGGACGTCTTAATGTTAATATTGTGTTTTTGTTTTTTTTTTCTCTTCAGTTTTCTCCAGAAAGGAATGAGTTGCAGGTAGATGAGGAGAGCCCCGTCCGCTTACGCAAATCCTCCCTGACCTTCTCTTTGAATGAGGACGATGATGATGATGACGGGTTCATGGACATTATCGATGATGAGGACGATGTGAAGGTATTAAACTTTTTTTTTTTTTTTTTTTTTTTCTGCTATAGGGTGGTGCAGAAGAGGTTGAATGTTATATTTATATTAGATTTTATTATATTATATGATTTTTAGATTAGAATTTGTCTTCTGATCACTTACGTTGTTTTTTATTACCTATTCTGTTTCAGAGGGAGCCAAACCTGCCGACAGGCATGGAGAACCTACTGACTGCTCCACTGAAGAAAGATGACTCTGTAAGTTCCTGCTCCAGTTAATTATTTCAATCTTGCATGTGCACTGTGAGAATTTTTAGAAATTGCATATGTATGGCTACCCAAAGGGGGTCATTTTCAACCAAAGCTGGTATTTCCATTGTGATTGGAACCTGCTGAGTCGAGTCATTTTGGCTTTCTTATGGAAGCTGATGATTGAATTGTAGCAGATAAATCCAGAGGATGGTGTTATCGGGGTGTAACCTTCATCTTCTTTCTCTTTCCCATGCCAGGATTTGGTAATTAGGAGCAAATGTCGCCGCCTTTTCCGCTCGCCCTCCATGCCCAGCTCTGTGATCCGACCCATCCTGAAGCGCCTGGTGCGCCCAGTTGACGAGGACACGCCGGTGAAATCGAAGAGGCACAAGAACCTGAGCTCAGCCAGTGCCGGCGATGGGGATCTTGTTATAGAGGAACCGGTACGTGTGATTCTGGAATTTATAATGCAAATTCTGTATGGCTAGCTGGAAGATGGGGACTGGGTGCGCTAACTCGAAGCACAAAAGTTACTTTTTTTTTTTTTTCCTCAACTGGCATCAGATATGGTAGGCATTATCTCCCTCATCTGAGATGATTCTGCCAGCTGACATGTTTCACCCAGTAGGTGCACCAATGATTAAGCCTGTTGAGTGAAACGCATCAGACTTGTCACCTCTCTGCTCATTGCAAAGAGAAGCTACCATTGCTTCATTGTCTGGCAAGCAGAGAGGGGACATAGGAAGCTTCAAAGCTGAACCTGTTAATAGGTTTGCCACATTTTTTTGTGTTTTATTCTTTTCTCCTGAAGTTTACATTTTTATAGCTGTTGTGATCAAAAACCTTATTTGGTGTTGAGTTAACTTATTATTTTTGTTTTTATTATAGAAAATGAAACTGGGTCGGTCCAAGTCTCTGTGTCTTACGACGGTTGAACAGGTCCTGGACAGTGAACAGATGGACTTGATTGGTGATTCTTCTAAGGTGAGGAGATGGGAACACAAGATGAGAAGTATGGTGGGCATGGCGTGTAGTCTACAGGGTCCTCTGGGCATGGGCTCTAGACTGACCCAATGAAGTGAGAACTCACAAAATGGTTCCAAATTTCCTGGCCTTGTAATTCTATGATAAGTTGAGTACCTTAGACTTACAAGACACAGATGATTGAAGGACTTTGTTGAATTGGGTACGATTGGTATCTTTTGAAGTGCCTGGCGGAGGTTGTAAAGCAACAAATCCAGTTGGACTAGATGCAACTAATAAGAGTCGGCGTCCCGTTAAACCCTGTAGGCCATCCTTGCTACCATGTAGGTCTACAATGACAACTAACCCTTGCAGATTCTAGAGGTTCAAAGCTACTTTTGTGCATGTATTGATGGACTTTTTATTTTACAGACATACCTGTTGAAGACTGTAGAAGGCAAACACCAGGATCTGAAGTATATCACTCCAGAAATGGTAAGTTAGAGCTTCCACATCATCCTACATTGTCATGTAACCATGGGAAATGGTCAGTTAAATTTGGAAATGAAGCATTAAGATGCATTTAGAAAGAACAGCGTTCCTGTGGAGTAGTTCCAGTTTTTATCATGGCTCCTGGAAAGCACCCGCTGGTGATCCTGGAGAGCACCCGCTGGGAGATGGTCGGCAAACTTGGAATAGAAGCATTAAGATGGTTTTAGGAAGAACAGCGTTCCTGTGGGGGTAGTTCCAGTTTTTATCATGGCTCCTGGAGAGCACCCGCTGGTGATCCTGGAAAGCACCCGCTGGTGATCCTGGAACACATCTGCTGGTGATGCTGGAATACCTTTCATGTAGCCCTGTACATACAGAAAATTTGGTGTAAAAAAAAAAATTACCAGCACTTAACCTTTTTCACTTGCCTCTGTACTTTGAAAGTGATTGTGTCACAGCATGTAGCTTCCTCTCCTCCACTGTCAATTGATTGAGGAGGGAAGGGGGAGAGATTTAGACTGTTGCTGCCCTGTTCTCTTACACTCTGCTGGAATGCCGCTGCACTGCAGCCACCCATTGTCAGTCCTTGCTGGGACTGGGCCCCGCTGCTGACCTAATAGGGCCCCGTTCAGCATTACTGCCAGTATCAGCAGCTCTATTTGCATTGCTTGCTGAATAGTAATAGCAGTTTACTAAATTCTCCAAGGTTTGACCAGGACTGCTCTTTAACTTTTTTTTATTTTTTGCTCTGTTCAGATGGATGACGTGCTGAGCGGGAAGTACAGGGACCGCATTGAGCATTGCGTTATTGTAGATTGCCGATACCCATACGAGTATGAGGGAGGACACATTAAGGTGAGTGGCAGCAGTATCTGGATGGGGTTCCATGGTAATAATGTGCTGGTAGTGGTGGATTTCCAGGAGGGTTCTGCAGTAATATGTTGGTGAGATCTGGATGGGTTTCTGAAGTAATGTGGTGTTGGGCTCTGGATGAAGTTCTATGGTAATATATTGGTGGGCTCTAGACGTGGTTCTATGATAACATGTTGGTGGGCTCTGGATGGAGTTCTGTAGTAATATGTTGGTGGGCTCTGTAGTAATATGTTGGTGGGCTCTGGATGGGATTCTGTAGTAGTACATTGGTGGGCTCTGGATGGGGTTCCGTAGTAATATGTTGGTGTGCTCTGGATGGGGCTCTGTAGTTATATGTTGGTGGGCTCTGGATTGGGTTCTGTGGTAATATGTTGGTGGGCTCTGTAGTAATATGTTGGTGGGCTCTGGATGGGGCTCTGTAGTAATATGTTGGTGGGCTCTGGATGGGGCTCTGTAGTAATATGTTGGTGTGCTCTGGATGGGGCTCTGTAGTTATGTTGGTGGGCTCTGGATGGGGTTCTGTGGTAATATGTTGGTGGGCTCTGGATGGGGCTCTGTAGTAGTATGTTGGTGGGCTCTGGATGGGGCTCTGTAGTAATATGTTGGTGGGCTCTGGATGGGGCTCTGTAGTAATATGTTGGTGGGCTCTGGATGGGGCTCTGTAGTAATACGTTGGTGGGCTCTGGATGGGGTTCTGTAGTAATATGTTGGTGGGCTCTGGATGGGGCTCTGTAGTAATATGCTGGTGGGCTCTGGATGGGGCTCTGTAGTAATATGTTGGTGGGCTCTGGATGGGGTTCTGTAGTGATATGTTGGTGGGCTCTGGATGGGGTTCTGTAGTAATACATTGGTGGGCTCTGGATGGGGCTCTAGTAATATGTTGGTGGGCTCTGTAGTAATATGTTGGTGAGCTTTGGATGGGGCTCTATGGTAATATGTTGGTGGGCTCTGGATGGGGCTCTGTAGTAATACGTTGGTGGGCTCTGGATGGGGTTCTGTAGTAATATGTTGGTGGGCTCTGTAGTAATATGTTGGTGGGCTCTGTGGTAATATGTTGGTGGGCTCTGGATGGGTTTCTATGATATGTTGGTGGGTTCTGGATGGGGTTCTATAGTAATATGTTTGGTAGTGGCGGGTTTCTCATGAAATGTTTCTGTTTTAGGGTGCGGTAAATCTCCCACTGGAGCAAGACGTAGAGGAATTTCTCATGAAAACGCCGATTGTCCCGACCAGCGAAGACAAAAGGGTCATCATCATCTTCCACTGTGAATTCTCCTCTGAGCGCGGACCTCGCATGTAAGTTCTCATTACAGCTTTAAAAAGATTCTTTAAGACTTCTGATATATAAGATCTAATCCTTATCTTCATATCATCCACAGGTGCCGTTATGTTAGAAAACAGGACAGGAACAGCAACGAGTACCCGAAACTTCACTACCCAGAATTGTACATTCTGAAAGGAGGCTACAAGGAATTCTTTCCCAGCTATCAGGTCAGTCAATAGACCAGAAGGACAGAAGCATTCGTTAATATATGATTTAAGGGATTCAAACTTGATAGTTTGTTAAACGAATTTGGTGCCTTTCACAATAAGTTGGGTAATCGCCGGGTCCTGCAATGGTAGTGATCGAAAACTTCATCATTCTTTTGAATGAAAACAAATTGTACAAGCATAACGCCAGCTTCAATCTTTAGTTTTTTGAGTAAAAATGGGACCCGTCAGGTTTTTGTTCCTCATGGTTCCTCAGGTTGTGTGGAGTGCTGGATTACTCGATTTGGATTCAAAGGTTATAAGTTGACTGGCAACATTTTTTTTTTTTTTTTTTGTCCTAGGGCTTCAATGGATGGTCCTTTGGAGGGAGGGGAGGAACTGAAATGGAAATGTCACACCACGTATAAAAGTCCATGGTGTTTTATATAAGATCCCCCAAAGAAAAGCCAATGCGCTTTGTAGGTTTTTTTGAGGGATCTGATGAAGTCTCCCTTCTTCAGGGCAGAAAAGGATCAAAAGTCTTAAATCTTGACCAGACAATGGAATCAGCAAGGTAGTTTGGTTGGGAGCCCTGCATCTACCTTTAGTTTGTCTGGTCCAGATTTCAGACTTTTGATCCCTTTTTCAGCCCTGAAGAAGGGAGACTTCATCAGGTCCCTCAAAAAAACCTACAAAGCGCATTGGCTTTACTTTGGGGGATCTTAAATAAAACACCATGGACTTTTATACGTGGCTTTTTCTTGGAGGAAAAAACACGTTGGCTTTTTCTTGGAGGATCTATAATAATAATTCCCTATCCAGTATTTCAGTTTTTATTCTGGTCCATGACTGCCCCTCAATATCGGGCCCAGTCATGGTGTCGGTAGGATTCGAAGCAAGGGAATGTCTATTAATGAGACTGCATGGAGTTGAGTGACCTAAAGTTAGAACCTCCCGTTGGGTTTTTATTTCTGTTTTATGACTTACTGCTGCTTGGGGTGCAGCCTAGGTAGAGTTGTATAGAGATTTGGGGCATGTGTGATGTCCTCTGCTGTACTAAAATACATTGTGTCTAACTTCTATACTCCATCTTTCCTACAGACTCATTGTGAGCCCCAATCATACCGCCCCATGGACCACAAGGACTTTAGAGAACACCTGAAGCTTTTCCGCAGCAAGAGCAGAAACTGGGCCGGTGACAAGAGCAAGCGTGAAATGTACAACCGCCTTAAGAAACTGTAGTGAACCAACACCTTGGACTTCAGACAGAGGAGGTCCATATGTTCCACCAAACACATCATACAGGTGTCTCCACGCAAGGAGCAATTGCCAGGCTGGCCGGGATTTGGAAGATGGTCAGCGAACAATTTTTGGTCATCAGCCGTGGAGTTTACCGGGAGATGCAGATTTTTTTCGAAAACTTTTCCAGGAATTTTTGGTGAGGGTCTTTTTCTACGGCAGCATTATCCTCTACACCGAGGAGGAGACCCTGGACAACCAGCGCAGATAATCTTAAGAGGAGGCCTGGCCCTTTAACGGAACACTTTATCAATGGGAACACAAATCTGCATTTTGATGACTCCATACTTGAAAACCTGCTAGCCTCTTACTTTATTATTCCCCCCCCCCCCCCCCCCCCCCCCCCCCCCCCCCCTGGAGGCTAGACCCAAACAAAAAAAAACTTAAAGGGTTTGTCCACTTGTCATGACTATTAGAAAGGTGTCTGCATTTACTTTATATTTTGTTTTTTTTAATGTCACAGCAGAAGTGAGACTCCCTTGAATGGGAACTGAGATGTGAACTCTGACAGGGATATTTTCCTCTCCATCAAAAACTGAACTGTCAGCTTTGAGTGGACTCACCCTTTAAGATGCATTTGTGCAGTAGAGCAGAGCATTGTGTGATGTGTATGTGTGCGTGTTTTGTGCGTTTTTTTTGTATGAGTGTACTGTTGCACTTGCACTTTTTCAGGCTGTCGGTGGCCTCTCGAGCCTTGCACGATCTCTCTGTCCTCAGAGGCCAATCAGATACTGCCAACCGCCGCAAGGAGCCGCCCCTTTCCCCAGTGCATAAGCGCTACAGATTTGCCCGTCCCCACCCCCTCCCCACAGAATGGTTTTTATTTTGACCCAGATGGCGGTCTAAAATATATAAATTGAAGATTATTAAAAGCATATCTTCTGCTAGAACCTTTTTGCTTTATTCACTTTTTTAATACTCTTTGCTTTTATAGATTCTGGCAAAATCAGGAGACAAATCTATTTATAGGTGTGAACAGGGGTGGACTGACAACTCATGGGGCCCCCAGGCAATAGGGGATCATGGGGCCCCTGTGTCCTTGCCCAAACTAAAAAAAGCCTATGAAAAAGGTACCAGGGGCATCTCATGGGGCCCCCTACTGACCCCGGGCCCTCGGGCAGTGCCCGAGTTTCCAAATGGTCAGTCCGCCCCTGGGTGTGAATACACCATCTGTGTATCTAATATATGGAAATCCCATTTACCATTCAGCAATGCTTGTATACAGTAGCAGAACTATCCATTCACCAGGAAACATCACCCAGACAGGTCACTGCCCTGTTTTCTGAAGGTGATTTCAGTTCAGAAACTGCTGGGGGAGATCTGTGTGTTTTTTTTTTTCCAGTCTAGAGCCACTGTGCATAAATGAACAAAGAGGGCCTGTCTTTTCATCCTTAATTAGCCGTCTTTCTAATCAGAGCTGTATGCCACAGGGCTGGACAAATCTCGGGAGCCGTCTCTGCTGTAGAGTCTAAAAATGACTTTGAAGACACCCCAATAAAATCATGGTATACTATTGCAACATAACTTTGTGAAACACAAATAACATTTAAAAAAAAAAGATTTTAAAAAAGTATACTTTTTTTACATTAAAAAAAAAAAATATATATATTAAAAAATTATATACTTTTTTTTTTTTTTAATAAAAAATGTTTGTACTGTTTAAAAATGTTTATAGAATTTTATACATTTAAAAATAAATTATATATAATATCATCTTATTTTTTATATATATATTCTATAAATTTATTTTTAAATAAAAAAAATTATATAAACATTTTTAAATAGTAGAAATTTTTTTTTTAATAAAGTATATAATTTTTAAAATAGTTTTAAAATAAAATTTTTATATATATAAAAATTTTATTTTAAAAATATTTTTAAAAATTATATACTTTTTTAATAAAAACATTTTTCTACTATTTAAAAATGTTTATATAATTTTTTTAAATTTAAAAATAAATTTATAGTGTATGTATGTATGTATAAAAGATGATATTATATATAATTAATTTATTTTAAAATTTAAAAAAATTATATAAACTTTTTAAATAGTAGAAAAATGTTTTTATTAAATTATATAATTTTTTAAATATTTTTAAAAAATAAATATATATATATATATATATATATATATATATATATATATATATATATATAAAATTTTATTTTAAAAATATTTAAAAAATTCTATACTTTTTTAATAACATTTTTTTCTACTATTTAAAAATGTTTATATAATTTTTCTAATTTAAAAAATACATTTATATATATATAAAAATAAGATGATATTATATATAATTTATTTTTAAATTTAAAAAAATTATATAAACATTTTTAAATAGAAGAAAAATGTTTTTATTAAAGTATATAATTTTTTATATATATAAACTTTGGGTTTAGAAAGTTATTGCCAATAGCATACTGTTTTGTTGCATGGTCACATGACCCCACAGCCCGCAGAGGCTGCTGTCGATCAAGCATTGAGGGTTGCGTGTGGGGGTATGGCAGCAAAGCTAACTATGGGAGTACAGGCATGCCGTGCGTCAGCACACCATCCTGTAAGTCTATTAAGGAATGCCAGGCACACAAACTGACCACACTATAACAGGTCTGCTTTCACGCTTGGCATGGTCAGATTTTTTTTTTTTTTTTATATATAGGAAGATGGGTGAACTGGCAGGATCACAAGGTATTTATTAGTAAATGGGACTGCAGTGACAAGAGGTAACCAGGTCATGGACACTTTATTAATATTATCAAGTTTAAAGTTTCTATACATGTTTACTGGAGGGACTTGCCAGTCCTATGTCAATGTTCGCACATTTCAAATTCTTTGTGTTAAAAGGGTAATTAGTTGGTGGTAAAGTTCCCGAATTTTAATTCTTTGAAGTAAAAAAAAAAAAAATATATATATATATATATATATATATATATATATATATATATATCAGCTGGAAGTATTGAAGTTCTAGATTTAGTTTAACATGGGCGTTTTATTTCCCATTTCTCTAAAGCGCAAGAGTGTGCTCGAGACATACATAGACATCGGTAATTACCACTGTCAGCACTAACTGGGCTGTTCTGCTGTTTACTTACCCCTGGGCACTAATACCCACGTGTTCAAAAACCTAAAATTTCACCAAAAAGTCTTGGGGCACTCGTCGTTAAAGTGGTTGTAAACCTCTGAAATGAACCGTGAACAAAGCATATCCCCCTATAGTGTGCACTTGCTTCAATCCAAAGCACCTAGCGTGGTTGGTATCTGCCCTCTCATTCCTCTGCTATACCCCCCCAACACACAGTCGATTCACAGTCTTGGCTGTGCAAGTTTCCCTATGAGACTGTGTAGGAGGGTCCTTTCCCTCCACTCAGGTCTCAGATTACCCTCAGCTCCTGGCTTTTATTCCCTGTGATCCCACCAGGCTTGTAAATTTCTGTGTGCAGGGAAGGGGTTCTTAGGAGGTGTAGTTCTGGGGGCATGCCTACAACAATAGGAAATGATCCCCGTGAATGTGGGAATGCTCTCGAGGGTTAAGGCAGGGTTTAGCTGGGAAAAGAAATCAATGTATTTTATATGGGGATAGGTGACCTATAGTCCAGCAGGCAAGGCTGAACCCCGTACATACGATGAGAATATTGGAGGAAAATTCAGCTTTCAGAGTGATCATCTGATAATCTGGTCATTAGTAAACTGGTCTCAAGAGTTAATGCAAAATTATCCAACTTTCTAAAAAATTATCCAAAGACGAGCACAAATTTTTTTTTTTTTTTTTTGTACGATATCAGAACGATTTCCGTTTTAATCAGTAAAGTATTCATCCAAAAAAAAAAATCAAGTGGCCAGAAAAAAAAAAATCACAGTATAATACAATACACTCCTGAAGCTGTATTCTGTCCTGCAAGAATTTTCGTAACTTTAGTAACCTCTTCATTTTCGGTACAAGACTAGCATGCAAAAAAAGGACGATCGTTTATCCGATATATTCTCATCGTGTATACAAGGCATAACAATGCTGGTTGGGATTTCAGTGCAAAAAAGGCACGTTCCAACCAGGAGCACACTGAATTTCTTAAAAAAAATTTTTTGCACATCTCCAAAATTTTTTTTATTTTTTATTACTCTGGATTTTTCTTTTTTTTTTTTTGTATTTTTTTTTGTAATTTTTTTTGTATTTTTTTGTAATTTTTTTTGTGTTTTTTTTATATTTTTTTACATTGATCAGTCTGCTTCTTGGTTTTCCTTTACTATTAGAACTTAAACCTTTTGTGCAATATCTTTTCAACATCAATGCTTACCATTTTTACAATTTTTAGTTTAGTGCTAATATTGGACCACATGGTTAAAAATCAAAAAGCAAATATTTCTGCCAGTCTGTATAAATTGGCTCTCCTAAACATTTTCCCATAGTATCAGCTAAACGGGCTGAACATTAAATCCCTCTTCTGTTTAAAATTTTCTAAAAAAAATGGGAATATTTTCAGGAGAGTTGATTTTTGGATGCAAAAATTTGAGCTCACTTGAGGGATTTCATGTTCATGCACATTGGGGCAAGTGCTTCATTGCCATTTTTTGATTGTTGGAAATCCAAAACCTTTTTTTTCTTACATAATTTTATTTATAACAATCAAAAATGGCAATGAAGCACTTGCCCCAATGTGCATGAACATGAAATCCCTCTTCTGTTTAAAATTTTCTAACAAAAAATGGGAATATTTTCAGGAGAGTTGATTTTTGGATGCAAAAATTTGAGTTCACTTGAATTTTTTTTTTTCCTTTTTTCTAAAGAAAAAAGTAAAAAAATTAATAAATAAAATATGTAAGAAAAAAAGGTTTTGGATTTCCAACAATCAAAAAATGGCAATGAAGCACTTGCCCCAATGTGCATGAACATGAAATCCCTCTTCTGTTTAAAATTTTCTAAAAAAAATGGGAATATTTTCAG